TGTGTGCAGTTTAGCTTGATTTTCTGAAGTAGGGAAGTACAAATTCTGTCTGGAACAATTTCTTTTACTGGCTCATTGTACAGAAGAAACTTGTCTCCATGCCAAAGACAAAACAGCTTCTGGGTTAATTTTGAACTTGATAAAGTGAATAAGTGAAAAATATATACACATTCATTTCAGACTCGTTATAAATAATTAAATGAATATATAATTATATCTGGTTTTACCCTCAAGCTCAACCAGCAAAGATACATGCAGCCCATGTGAAAAGACTACTTCATATTTTTTTCAAAAATTATGAGTGAGCTGCCACACATCACTGAATTTATGTGCTCGTAGGTAAGAATAACAACCTGTCTATAAAATTATACAATGGAGAGTATAACGGCATTCAAGAGTTTTGTTTAATGTATATATGCCTTCTGAAACTTGAACTTACACAAGCATTTTCTTCGGGTTGTCTTGAATGTCTTGTTAATCATCCCTTGTCATCTTCATCATCTCTTATCTTCCCTCCAGTCCAAGGTTGGAGTGGAGCTGGGGAGCAGCAGCCTCGGCACCGCTTCACGTCTACTTTGGCTGAATGCTTTTGTTATGATGTATGAAGTATGACAAAGTAACATGGATGATTTTAACACGCACACTAAAGCATATACCCAAATGAGTGTTGTTCCTCTGAAAGTACTTCTCTTAGGACTTATCCTAATGATGCTGGCATTTTGCAGGACATGTTTCCATTTCTTCTGTTGGAGAGCAGTTATAAAGTAATAATTGATGGCTCTTCCATGTTGCTCATTATATTGACTGAATAAATCCTTAGCATTACAAAAAAAAAAAATATCCCCTTTAATCTGGCTTTTGGCGACTTACTTTTGTTACTGGCCTTTCACACCCACTTACCCTCTCGCTGCTTGTGCTCCTCATGGTGAAAATGTGCAGCTCCTGGCAGACTCTCTGTATTTGCATATGCCCTTCCCCTTACTTGAAAGCTCCTCCTCTTATCACTAAGCTCGAGATCACCTCCTTCAGAAAATTATTTTTATTTTTCACAGTATTACAGATGTCCTCCTATTTTTCCCCCATTCACCCCCTCATCCCCATTCCCACCCCCCTCCCGCTTTCCCCAAATTAATGTCTGTGTCCATTGGTCATGTATATATACATGTAAGTTCTTTGGTTTATCTCTTCCCACCCTCCACCCCCATACATCTGAGGTTTGTTGGTCTGTTCCCTACTTACATGACTCTAGATTTATTTTGATCGACAGGTTATTTTGTTCACCATGTTCCCTAAATGAGATTATGTGGTATTTGTCTTTCTCTGACTGACTTATTTCACTCAGCATAATACTCTCCAGGTCCATGTCATCTCAAAGGGTAAGAGATCTTTCTTTCTTACAGCTGCATAGTATTCCATTGTGTATATGTACCACAGCTTTTTATCCACTCATCTACTGATGGACACTTGGGCTGTTTCCAGATCTTAGCAATTGTAAATAGTGTTGCTATGAACATAGGGGTACATATATTTTTTCTGATGGGTGTTTCAGGCTTCTACAGATATATTCCTATAAGTGGGATCCCTGGGTCAAATGACAGTTCCATTTTTAATTTTTTGAGGAAACACCAAAGTGTTTTCTTTTCTTTTTTTTTTTTTATCCTCACCCGAGGACATTTTTCCATTTTTGGTTCAGATAGAGCGGGAGGGAGAGAGAGAGAGAGAGAAACATCGATGAGAAGGGACTCATCGAGTGGCTGCCACCCGCACAACCAACCAGGGCCAGGGACAAACTGCAACCGAGGTACATGCCCTTAGCAGGAACTGAACCCGGGTCTCTCTGTACTGCAGGCCGACGCTCCAACCGCTGAGCCAAACCGGCCAGGGCCACCATAGTGTTTTCAATAGTGGCTGCACCAGTCTGCATTCCCACCAGCAGTGTACTAGGTAGGATGCCCTTTTCTCCACACCCTCACCAACATTTGTTGCAGAATTTTTGATGGCTGTTGTTCTGGTAGGTGTGAGGTGATATCTTATGGTTGTTTTAATTTCTTCTTTTACTGATTCCACCTCCAATCCCCCCAATCTGTTTACCTTCTATTTAACTACACCTTGGAAATTCCAAGTCACCTCAATCCACCAAATTGTATACTATCTTCATTTGCCCCTCTCCCTAACTAGTCACTGGGCTTCCTGAAGATAGACAATTTATCTTTTTATCTGTACCCTCCCAGCGCAACAGTATTGACTCACAAATATTGTTCAAGAAAGGTTTGTCCAATAATGGCTTGTGAATGGATAAAAAGGTGTGTGAACAGATACTTGAATGAAGTGGGTTACTTAACTCTGAAGGCAAACATTTATTTGATTGAGACCTAGTAGAGTTCAAGAATTACTGGATTATTTAATAAATGATATTAGGCAAACTATTTCATCAGTTTAGTACAGACTTCCTACCTCATTATAATAAGCAATATACACAATTTCAATTGGATTCAATGTTCATATTTTAAAAAGATGAAACTAGAAACAAATATGACTACTCTATAATTTTAGTGTGAGGGAGGCCTATTTAAACATAATACCAAAGTCAGAAACCACAAAGGATAAGGTTAATGGTGGCTCTAAACTAATCTATCACTTTCCAAATTATACCTTCTACTTAGTGTACGGAAGCCATACATTTTCCCTCTGAATTATTTTCCAAAAGTCTAAGAGTCTAAATATCTGCCTATTCAAAGAGATACATGGAAAAAACAAGTGATTATAATACACTAAAGATTGTCCAAAAATCTGGAAACATGGAGAAAATAATGTGTTTTTTAATGCTTTTTTCTGATTAACAATTGGACCCATTGTTTAGAGTCATTTCACCTAAAAATTGAAGGAAAATATATTTAAAATATTATTTAAAATGTTAACTAATATATTGTTTGAAAATGTTAGTCCTATGTTTCTGACTTTTTAAACATTATATGAAGTGTCATAGAGCAACCACCTGGCCGATTTGGCTCAGCGGTTAGAGTGTGGGCCTGCTGACTGAAGGGTCACAGATTCGATTCCTGGTCAAGGGCACATACCTGGATTTCCGTAGATCTTGGGCCCCAGTAGGGGTCATGCAGGAGGCAACCAGTCTATATGGCTCTCTCACATGACGTTTCTCTCTCTCCTCCTCCTCCTCCTCCTCCCTTCCACTCTATCTAGCAATGGAAAAATATCCTCAGGTGAGGATTAACAAAAACAAAAACAACAAAAAAAGGAGCAACCTAAATATTCAATAAGGCATTATTAGTACATAAATTATTCATACTACAAATAATGTTACTGAATTTTATATGACCTGAAAAAGAGTTCATGATGTATTTTGAAATGAAAAAATATATATATTAATAACTATTTGGTACAAATTATTTCAATTTTATAAAAACACATATGTGCTATTTATGTAGAAATATGTATACAAAATCTGAAAGTAAAATGTAATAAACTGATGATCTTTTTTGCCTTATCTATAGTTTCTAATGTTTCAACTGTAAGTATAGATAATTCATGAGATAGAGATAAAAAGACAGAGTAGAATGCCTTACTCAAAACCAAAGCAAACACTGATCAAGCTTATGAAACAATAAAATTACTGAAATGAAAAATAAACTGAAGATTGCAAAATCACTGTATATGATTTCAAATGATTTTCTGCCACCCTGTGGAGAATACTATTCATTGCAGGATTGAACTAAGCAAAATATGGAACTAGGAAAAATCTGCAAATGCAGATAAAGTTATAGGAGCATTGCAGAAGTTGTTTAGCTAAAACTTTTTATCAATTGATCAGTTTTGTTTTCTCTGCCAGCTATTTAACAAAACTTCTAGAATAGGAGGAGGATAATAATACCTAATACATATATGATTACAACATGCCAAGCACTGTTCTAATATACAGGGTGGCCAAAGTAAGTTTACAGTTGTGAGTATGCGAAACAGTTTATTCTTGCATTATTATTTCTGTATTATTTTCCATACAAACTGTAAACCTACTTTTGCTCAGCCCTGTATATATATAACTTTATCTCACAAAAACCCTTTGAAATGGGTATTCTTTTTCCCCCGTTTTATCAATGAAACACAGACAGTTTAACTACTTACCAACAGTGAGTAAATGCTAAATGCAAATGCAAAAAATGCATTTTGGATCAATGATTTAAATTTTTGAGCTTTACAGTTCCTCTCATGCCCCACCATTCCTTGAGTAGACTGCCGGTCCTTTGTAGGGATTTAGTGAGATTTCTGAGAGGGATTATCCTGTTCTCCAAACTAAACCTATTTCCTTGAAGCTGTAGAGCAGGGTTACTAGTCAAAGTATGATCTACAGACCTGGGCCCTTCAGAAAACTGGCTGTTACTTTGCGGTAAGGATAGTGCAGAAATGGAGAGTAAGCATTTAGAAATCTCTATGGAAATTTTACTCGTAATTAATGGCCACTGGTTATAACGATAAAATGTTCTTCGGGTTCACAACTAACTAGAAATTTTAAAAAATAATAAATTGATCGCTACCTACATACACTTTGAGAATTTAGTGTAGTCAAGCTGTTCATTAATGAGTTTTACCAAACTCTGGATTCTTCTGAGGTCTAGTTCCCCAAATGAGACCTGATACCTTTCCTCCCCTCATTTTATTTTTTTTTTATAATACACAGTCACTGTAGTGTAGATCGAGGATGCGCCTGCAGCCTCAGAAGCGCCCCCAAGAAGGTGCCAACAGGACCCGCCAGCCCAGCAGGAATGTACAGCGGCCACGCGGCGCATGCGCAGGCGTTAGTCCAAGACGGCGGAGAGGGCGTGGGAGGGGGTTTCAAGAAAACGCCTCTGACCCCGCCCCCGCCCCGCTCCTGTCCCGCCCTCGGCCCCGCCCCCGCCGATGCCGCGCCTGCCGAAGGTCGGGAGGAAGTCACTTCCGCCAGGGCTGCTCTCTGCATCCGGGTCAGCTACGCCGCTGCCGCTACATCTGTATCTGTGACCGGGTCCTGGGCCCGGGGCTCCACTGCGGTCCGAGGGGAGCGGGCTCCGCTCGGCGCTACCTTCTGCGACCTGGCCGTCAGCCCCACGTCGCCGGCCTGGAGGGGCGAAGAAGACGAGGGGGCCAAGGCTTCCTCCGGGGTGAGTGCGGCCCGGGAAGGCTGGGCGCGGCGGGTGCCGGCTGGGAGCAAGCCTAGGGGCGAGCGTCTGAGGGGCGCGTGTCCCTGGAAGGCCAAAGAGAGGAAGCCTAGAGGCTTATCCTTTGTGGGGGGGGCGCCATGGAACCTGCCGCAGGCGCTTCCCGGATCCCCGCCCAGCGTAGGCCCCCGCCCTTGGCTCGGCTCCGGTGCGCGTCTGCTGTCCTTGCCCTCCACCCCCTTTTCCGTTTGTGGAGGTTGTGCTCCGGCTGGAACCTGTCTCCTCACCCCCCAGCACACACCCCGGTCTGGGTGCGGTGACTGGGCCACGTTGGCCCCCTGTTTATGACCAGCCCGCGTCCCGGTGCAGAACAAAGAAAGTTGGACTTCTGATATGCCTGTACCCTCGGAGAATAAACGCGGAAGCGGCACTTGTGATCTGGGCTTGAATAGACCTTCGTACGTGAAAAGCCGGGTTTCTGCTTTGATTCAGATGCTACCTTTTGCCTGAATACCTGGCAAAAATGGTTTGGGTTTACTGGGTGCATCTGATGCCACTGGAGATCTACTAGGTCACCTCGTGTTAAATAAAAACGTTATTTGGTTCTATTACGTTGCTTTGAAACGTCCCTTGTCTGTCCTGAGAGATCTTTGAGAGCCCAGCTTTTGTGGTGTTAGCATCTAGGTAATCAGAGCGCCTTCCGCGTAGTTGTAGTGTGGGATTGCATTTTGGTGTTGCTTTTTTCATTCTCGCCTTTTTTTTTTTTTTTATTAGGAGCTATTTTTCTCCTAATGCTTAATTTCTTACTTTTTTAAGTTAAACGTATTATTTCTCTGATAGTTTGTAATTCTGCAATTTGTAAATGATTAGATTCCTCAAGATTGTAACTGACGTTACCCAGTTTAGTTACCCTGCAGATTGTTTTCTTGATGATCTTACACACCTCGTCCTCCTCCTCCTCCTTTCTGGTCATTTTACATTTTCTCAGAACTCGAATTCTTAGTCTTCACAGTCTTCTCTATTTCAACCTAATATTGTTGGGCTTAGACAAGAAGTATTACCAGTCCACTTCTACAAACATGGAACTTGAACTGGATCATCCTAAGTCCGTATTGTAGTCGTTAGGCATTATTGGACTTTTGACGCTAAGTAAGTGTAACCAAATATGGCATTACAGGCTTATTCTGTATAAAGTTGCCCATGAACTGGAGACACTGCTGTATTAGAAACAGTCTCGGTCTGGGAACCAGAATGCAGTGTCATGTGCTTCATATATCAAATAAAATGAGGATAATAACACCAGTGTTTTATACCTCACAAAATCGTTGATTGGAACATAAGAAATGATGAATGTGCAAGTGGTTAGTAAAGGTGAAAAGCACTCTGGAAAAGTAGTTCTGTTCATTCCATCAGGAGTAATTCTGGTAAGAAGGAGCTGTGAGGAAGGAAGGCATCTAAGAAAGGAAGTAGTATATTTAGCCAGATCTGATAAATTAACCTTGGCTGGCAGTGGGTTGAAAGACGCCTTGTTGAGCTTACATCCTGTAAAGCGGAATACTAGTATAATATGACAGTAATATTCCAAAATTATAATATCTGTACCTACAACAAAGTGTTACGGGTCAGTTATTAGACTTTAATTTTCTTTTTTTTTTTTTTAATCCTCACTCAAGGACATTTTTGCAATTATCTTCAGGTAGAGCGGGAGGGAGGGAGGGAGGAAGAAAGAAACATCAGGAGACAGACACATCAAGTGGTTGCCACCCACACAACCAACGGGAGCCTGGGACAAACTGCAACCGAGGTTCATGCCCTTAGCGAAACCAAACCCAGGACTCTCTAGTCATGGGCCGACGCTTTAACTGCTGACCCAAATCAGCCAGGGCTAGACTTTAATAATTTTAAAGGTCTCAGCATCTCCATTGTAGTCTGCTTTCTAGTAATTTAATAAACGTGACTTTTATAGGTGGGATAATTATCCCTTGCTTTATTTTCACAATTTTGAGAAAAGTCAGCACCATTGTGATTTCTCTTGAATTTTTTAACATTTCTGATAGAATATCTCATGTCATTCTTTGTTTTAATGGATATATAATTGACATATAGGGCATACTAGTTTCAGATGCACAACATGATTTGACATTTGTATATATTGTGAAATGATCACTATAGTTAAGTCTAGTTAATATCCAACATGACGCACAGTTACAAAAAAATATTTCTTGTGATGAAAACATTTATCATCTCTCTTAGCAACTTTCAAATATGTGATAAGTATTATTTATTGTCACCCTGCTATACATTACATCCCCAGGACTTACTTATTTTATAACTAGAAATGTGTACCTTTTGACCCCCTTCACTCATTTTATCCCTCACCCCATCTCACCCCTACTTCTCACTCCTACCCCTCATCAACCTTTTCTCTGTATTATGAGCTCAGTTTTTATTTTATTTATTTTTTGTTGCTTTTTAGATCCCACATGTGAGATCATACAGTATTTGTCTTTTTTGTCTGAGTTATTTCACTTAGCATAGTGCCCTCTAGGTCTATCCATGTTGTTGCAAATGACAAGATCTTCGTTTTTGTGGCTGAATAATGAACACACACATACCACATTTTCTTTATCCATTCATCCATTGATGGACGCTTAAGTGACATCCATATTTGGCTATTAGTTTCCTTTGGATAAATAAATACCCAGAAGTGGAATTGCCAAATCATATGGTAGTTCTACTTTTAATTTTTTAAAGAACCTTACACTATTTTCCATGTTGGCTGCACCAGTTTACATTCTCACCAACAGTGTGCAAACATTCTTTATTCTCTACATCTTCCCTAACACTTGTTATTTCTTGTCTTACAATAGTCACTCTAGATAGATAATAGTTACTCTAACGGGTATGAGGTGACATTGTGTCATTTCATTCTTAAAAACCTACATGACCTTGCTCTCAAGGAAGCAATGACAAGAAAGCATATAGGATTTTTCCAGAGTTGCATGGTGATTTACATAAACATGTATGATGACCTGAATTATTTTCCTGTAGGAAAAAGTGAACATAAATATTTAGAATGAATTCCTTTCGTTTAAATGAGGAAGTGAAAAGGCTTGCCTAGGCATTTCCTTCTGCCAACTGTAATTAATTTCAGCATAGATGTGGTTGCTAGCACCTATTCCAACAGCAATGTTAAGCTACATAGTAGTAAGTTACCATGTAAAATTATAATTCAGACAGTTCTAAATATGATCTTAATATTTAATTTTTGCTTAAATTGCTAAGCTTCATGGGGAAATCCCCTTCTTGGTTGTGAAGCTGTGTTAGAAGGAAATCCATTATCTCCTTGATTTTTAACCTTACTAAGGTGAATGGTTTGAATTTATCTCTGTGACCTCCATTCATAATTGAAATACATAATGACATGTCATAACTACCATAAGTCTGTTGAGAAATCAGGTTATTCCTGTTGTATTGGGTTATTTAAAATAAGTCTTATGTCCTCATTCCTTCCCCCTCCCCCATTCTAATTTACAAAGTCTATGAACAAAAAATGGGAAGCAGCCCTGGCTGGTTTGGTTCAGCAGTAAGAGGGTCAGCCCGAAGACCAAAGAGTCAAATTCTATTCCAGCCAAGGGCACCTACCTCGGTTGCGGTTTGGTCCCCGTCCCTGGTCGCAGTTTTTGGGGAGGCAACCAATCGATGTGTCTCTCACGTGATGTTTCTCTCTCTATCTGAAGATAAATGGAAAAAGAGCCTCAAGTGAGGATTTTGGGGTTTTTTTTTTATCCTCACTTGAGGACATTTTCTGCATTTATCTTCAGATAGAGCCGGAGGTGGGGAGAGAGGAAGGAAGAGAGAAGCATCTACCTGAGAGAGACACATCGATTGGTTGCCACCCACATGACCCCAATAGGGACCAGGGATGAACTGCAACCAAGGTACATGCCCTTAGTGGGAACCGAACCCGGGACTCTCCAGTCTGCGGGCCGATGCTCTAACCACTGAGTCAAAATGGCCAGGGCTCAAGGGAGGATTTTTTTTTTTTTTAATGGGAAGCAGCTCTAGCTGGTGTGGCTCAGGGGTTAGAGTGTCAGCCCTCAGACCAAGAGTTGAAGGTTCAATTCCAGGCCAAGGGCACATACCTGGGTTGCAGGTTTGATCCCCGCCCCAATTGGGGCTCATGTGAGAGGCAACCAATAGATGTGTCTCTTTCATGGGGCAGCCAATCAATGTATCTTTTTCACATCAGTGTGTGTGTGTGTGTGTGTGTGTGTGTGTGTGTCTTTCTCTCTTCTCACCCCTCCCTCTATTCCCCTCTCTAAAAATCAATGGAAAAATATCCTCCAGTGAGGATTAACAAAAAAAAAAAAAAAAAAAAATGGGAAGCAGCCACAGTTAACTTGCAAGTCAGCAATATCCTGGTTTCCTTCAAAGTGGTTGTGCTTATATTGTTCCTTTCTTGTTTGTTTCCTGTTCTTAGAGCTGCTGATAAAGTGCTTCCAAGAACAGTACTCAATTATTTCAACTGTTTTTATCTACCTAGTGTCTTTTTCCTCCTGAAGTTCGTGATGAAGTGCTTGAGTGAATATATCTGTATCTCTCCTCCTAGATCTGTTTAACTAGTTTATTTAATTATCCCCAAACTAAATATCCATGTTTATGTCCTGTGGTGTATTAACATTACATGATTTAATATAATTAAAGTAAAAATTGAGTGAATTGGCTGAGAGAGCCGAAATACTCAGACTCTTTATATTTAGTGGGGCTTTCTTTTTTTTATCTTTATTGTTGAAAGTATTACAGATGTCCCCTCTTTTGCCCACCATTGACTACCCCTCCCTGCTCCTGCCTCTCTCTGCCTTCACCATTGGTTTTGCATTTATGCATATAAGTCCTTTGGTTTCTCTCTTCCCACCCACCCCACCCCCCTTCCCTCTGAGGTTCATCAGTCTGTTCCCTGCTGCCATGTCTCTGGATCTTTTTTGTTCGTCAGTTTATTT